TACACGACTTATACAGGTTCCAGTATTTTCCCTCTGAAGTTCTGCTCCATTAGGTGGTTAGAAAATGCTGACGTAGCAGAAAGAGCTCTCGACATGTTACCTCTCACTATCACTTCATCAGGATTAAAAATCGGGAAGCGAAGAATTACAGTTTAATTTGCAGAATGTTAGCTGTAATGCGGAATCAATTAGGCTAAAAAGATTAAAATATCGGAAAAAAATATCAAATGTAATAAAAAATTCTTTTAATCCAAATTCGTTATTAACAATTCATTGGGATGGAAAATTATTAAGTTGTTTTCCTACTTTGTCCTTTCTTAAAAACGAGATGCGTAAGATCGACTAACTTCAAGTGTAGAACTTTTTCTTGATTGGCTATTTTTTCAAAATCCTTTATTCCTTTATTTTGATTGGATAAAATTCAAAATCCTTTATTTTGATTGGATATAATCAAGACGACATTACTTACTGATGTCAAAGCAGCTAACTTCAAGTGTAGAACTTTTTCCTCATTGGCTGATTTTTGGCTGATTTTATAATGAGTGTTCCTCATTGGCTGAATTTTATAATGATGGTGACCTCACACTTTTAAATTTTCGTTTTAATAATAAAATATATTCAATTTTATGATTCATTTTAGACGCTTCAAAATTGTTGCGCGCGCATCTTTTTTTCCAAACAATTGTTTGTCCGCTACGTAACCTCACCTCAGTGTGAAACGCATAGTTTTTTTTGGTTGGTATGAAAAATTACAAAATATTACAAGTGTCAGCAACTGTCAGCCATTTGCAAAGTGTGACAAGTGTATCGTTTCGATAAGAAGTATTGGCTGTTATTTGCTGAGTGATTTTTTTCTGAAAGTGTTGATTGTGAATTTTGTGGTTTTGTTTTTTTGTACATTTGAAAAAAGTTGCAATTCTTTTGTACATTTGAAAAAAGTTGCAATTCTTTTGTACATTTAAAAAAAGTTAAAGTACATTGCATACGTTACGTACGTAAGTATTAAAATTAAAATACATGTAAATACAAATTAAATTTTTTGTTAATATTATTTGTATATATATTTATTAGGAAGAGTTTGTAAATATAATGTGTGAATTATTTAATTTATTAATTTAAAGGATTTAATTAATTTTATTAATTAAAGTTAAAGGTTAAAGTTAAATACATTAATTTAATTAAAGTTAGAGTTTTAAAGTTAAAGTTTAAAGGATACATTAATTTAATTAAAGTTAAAGTTTAAAGGAATACAGGACATTTGCCTGTTATTTTGATTTCTAAATGTAGAATATTGATTTTTTAAATTCTGATGTTTGTACATAATTATATTATAGTGGTAATAATTATTATTTAATATTGATTAATATTTGTTTTTTAAATCTTAATTATTGATTTTTTAACATTTTGTTTTTTAACATTTTGGTAGTTAGTTATTATTTTGGAAAAAACTTTATGAATATTAAAGATGTACTAAAAATAACATGTGATTACGAGATACCAGATACTTGATAAACAGAGATTTAGTCAAGAGGTACTAGATTAACAGATACTCTATTAACAGATACTAGATTAACAGATACTAAACAGATACAAAACAGAAAAATTTACCAAAAATATACTTATATTTAATAATATTAATAATATTAATAGATGAAGACACATTCTTTACATTCTTAATAATCTTCAATAAGAAAGGATAAGATAAAAATTCCAGTTACTGTTAAATGTGACAATAGTAACATTATTTACATGTGTTCTGAATTAACTAATTTTATGAAAAACTATTTTTTAGAAGCGATATCTTTTCAATAAATTGAAAGAAATCATGTCGAACAAAGAAGGAACTGTTAATTTAAGTGTTAAAGATTTTAATATTATACTTACTGAAGGAGGAATGTTAAATGATACTCATATTGATGAATTCGAAAAATTATTGAGAAGGGAATCAAATTCTGCTTTTAGCATGCAAAGCACTTTGTATTTTTATACGCTTGAATTTATTAGTCCGATTGAAAAAGGTAAAAAGCATATTCAAATACTTTTTAGTGGACCTATCAAGAAAGGTCATTGGATTTACACTTATTATGATGGAATGAGACTTTATATTTATGATAGTCTTAATGAAGGATGTTTAAATGAAGATCAAAGGAAATATTTAAGTAGATATCCTTTTAAACCTCCAGTAGTTTTCACAACTGTTGATCAACAACCAAACAATAGTCTTGCTTGTGGAATATATGTAATAGCATTCGCAACATCAATATTTTTTAATATTATTCCCCACTCTGTCAATTACTAATATTATTATAACATGAGAAATCATTTAATGTTAATGTTCAAAAACAATCGTTTAAGTAAATTTCCGTCAGTAAGGTCGACTAATATTAGAACTATGACTGTTGAATGTAATTGGGAGTGTCTTCTTAGGAATCGAGCTAGAGAAAAAATTTTCCAAAATGAAGAAAATAAAATTGTTGACAATAATTTATCATCGTTGAATTCAACCAGCAATGTTTGTAAAAAAATTTTGTTGATAGTTGTTTAGAAGATTTGCCTTTAATTCCAGCAAATGATGTTAATAATATTTCTATTCATTCAAGCAATGGAATGAAAGATACAAGATTAATAATAACTGAGAAGTAAGGAGAAAAAAGAGCTATGGTTCATTTTCCTGAAGAAGAGGAAAAATATAAAATCATAAAACGTCAAAAAAAAGCTGCTTATCAAAAAAAATATCGACAAAAAAAGCGAGAAATAATAAAATTGTTCGCTCTGAATCATTGGATTCTAATGAATTCATTAGTGCAGAGCAAACTTTAAATACGAGGCCCCAAAGCACATCTACAGCTTTATCATCAGCAGAAGAAAATATTTCTACTTCTAAAGTTAAAACGTCAATTCGTGACAGAAATGTTGCTTACAAGCGCACCTCTCGCCAAAATAAACATACATCTGTTCAAAAACAAAATCAGTCTGATATTATTTCAAAGTCACATATAGAGATGGGTTATTGTAATGAAATAAACATTACACGTGATCATTCTTATGTAAAACTTTGTGAACATAAAGTTAACAGTGAATGTCATGAAACTTTAAAAGAATGCTGCTTATCAAAGAAAGTTTCGACAAAAAAAACAAGAGAATAATATAATTCTTAACCCTCAATCACTTCAAACAAAGGACAGTATTATTACAGTGTCAAAATCAAATATAAATTCAGAAAAATCCTCTACAACTGTTACTACATCTTTGGCAAAAGATAATGTAACTGTTACAGCAAATTTAGCAAATACTAATATTTCCGGTCGTCAAAAAAATGTAGCTTATTAAAAAACTCATAGCCAAAAAAACGGGATTCTGCACAGAATCAAAATTTCTCTGACAGTATTTCAGTCTCGCATATAGAAGAACATTTTGCTGGTGCGATGAACATTTCATGTGAGCATTGTAATGCTAAACATTTCCAAGCAGAAAGAGTATCTAATAAAAAAAATTCATTTCATGATTGTTGTAAACATGGCGAAGTCATTCTTGAAGATCTACCTGCTCCTCCACTCATATTACAAAATTTATTTGATGGCACCCACGAATTATCTGGGCATTTTCTTCATAACATACGACCTTACAATAATTCATTTGGTTTTGCTTCTTTCAACGCTAACTTAGTTAATTTTAACAATAGACGACCAGGACCATATTGTTTCAAAATACATGGTCAGGTTTATTATCAAATGAATACATCTTTGTATGCAGAAAGGAACGATACTCCTTCATTTGGACAATTATTTATTGTTCATCAAAACGAAGCTTCCGAAATTTGTTGTAAGAATAATGTTCAATTAAACCGAGATATTGTTGATGGAATTGAAACAGCCCTTCGGGACTGTAACCTATTTGCACAGTCCTACCGTATGATGCATGAAGAAATTAAAAAAACAATGACTGAAAATAATGCAGAAATTGAGCCTGAGATGCAATTATTATTTTGATTAAAGCCTGGGATGGATAGTAGACGTTATAATTTACAAAGTGTCAATGAAGTTGCAGCAATTTTTACTACAACTGCTGATGGTGATATTCCAGAATCATATGTTACCGTATATAATAAGAATACAAAAAGTTTACAATATATAAGTTCTATGAATCCCAATGTTGAGCCATGGATATATCCTTTATTTTATCCACATGGAACAAGAGGTTGGGGCAAAAATCTGACCTGCGCTAATACAAATAAACGTGTATCAAGAGCTGCATACATCAGGCATAGAATGGCTTCTAGGGACAACAATGTATTTTTAAAGGGTGGTAGATTATTTCAGTAATAGATTGTCGACAGTTATGTGAAAATTGAAAAAGATAGGACAAATTTCTGTCGAAATAATCAAAAGAAACTTCGTGCAGATACTTACGAAGGTCTAATTGATCATTTACAAAGAAGAGCTGATGATTCGAACAATGAAGTTGGGAAAATTGTAATACTTCCATCATCTTTCACAGGTTCTCCGAGAAATATGTTACAGCATTACCAAGATGCAATGGCTATTGTGAGAAAATTTGGTAAACCTGATCTTTTTATTACGATGACGTGTAATCCAAACTGGCGTGAAATTAAGGAAAATTTATTACCTAACCAAACTGCCTCTGACAGACCAGATATTGTATCGCGTGTTTTTACCATAAAAAAAGATAAACTTATTAATACTATTGTAAAGGAACAATTATTTGGCGAAGTGATTGCTTATGTGTATGTCATTGAATATCAAAAACGTGTATTGCCGCATATGCATTTATTAGTGACTTTGAAACAAAATTATAAAATAACAACACCCGAGATTGTAGACAAATATATTTTGGCAGAAATTTCAAGTCAATCAGAAAATGTTATACTTCATGACATCGTTATGAAAAATATGATTCATGGCCCATGTGGAAATTGGTGTAAAGATAATAATAGTAAATGTTTGAAAGGTTTCCCAAAACAATTCTGTTCTGAGACAATAATGGATGAAAACGGATACCCAACGTATCGCTGCCTTAATACAAAACAATACGATCGCCTAAATGGAGGAACTACAGATAATCAATACGTTGTTCCATACAATCCTACATTACTACAGTTATTTAATTGTCATATTAATGTAGAAGTAGTTTCAAGTATTAAATCCGTAAAATATATGTATAAATATATTTTTAAGGGACATGATGATGCTGCTGTAGTAATTACCGATAGTAGTAATAATACAAGTTCTTTAGAATATGATAAAATAAAAAACTTTATTGAAACTCGATATGTTAGTCCTGTTGAAGCATGTGATAGAATATTTGGTAGACCATTACAGAGTAAAAGTAATTCTATTTTCCGATTACCTGTTCATTTAATTAATCGGCATACTGTAACCATTAGTGAAGAAGCAAATGATGATGCTATAAATGAAGCTTTACAGAAACGGACTATGTTATTAGAATATTTCGATTTAAATAGGCGTGATCCACAAGCTAGACAATATACATATGCAGAAATTCCATGTTATTATGTTTTTAAGAAAGAACGTGGTGAAAATGCATTAAAATGGGTGAAGCGTAAAGGGTCATTTAATGTCATTGGTCGGATGTATTAAATTTCGCCCAGTCAATCAGAACTGTTTCATCTTAGATTACTTTTAATAGTAGTTAAAGGCGCTACAAGTTATGATCATCTGCGAACTGTCAACAATATTGTACATGACATTTTTCGTAGTGCATGTTTAGCATTAGGCCTCATTGAAGATGATGGAGAATGGGAACGTGCTTTGACAGAAGGAGAAGTATGGATGATGCCCCAACAATTAAGACGTTTATTTTTGCGTATTTTAATTTATTGCCATCCAGTTCATCCAAACGAACTTTGGGAAAAGTTTAAAGAGGCTATGTCTGAAGATTATCAGAAAAATTATCCATCTAATGAAGCTCATAAAAGAGCATATAATGATATAATTAACTGTCTGTTGCATGAAGGATCAAATATTCGCAATTTTCCTGAAATGATACAGTTAAATGAAATAAGTATTGAAACAGAAAATCAAGCGAACAACGAAATGTCATTGCAACAACATAAAAAGATTGGTGAAATGCAATATGTGAAACTGAATTCCAAACAGAAGGATATTGTTGATGAAGTATTAAATGTAGTTATTCAAGATAAAAGAATACCATCTTCTTCATGTTATTACATTGATGGACCAGGTGGATCCGGAAAAACTTTTGTTTATACAACTTTATACCATTTGTTAAGAAGTAAAGAAAAATGTGTTTGTACTATGGCATTTACAGGCATTGCCGCAATATTACTTCCCCGTGGTAAAACTGTACATAAAACATTTGGGATGCCTGTTCCATTGTTCTATGACTCTACATCAAATATTAAAAGTCAATCTAAGGAAGCTACATTTTTGAAAGAGGTTGATGTCTTTATTTGGGATGAAGCTCCAATGGCGCCAAGATATGCTATGGAATTAATTGATAGAACATTACGTGATTTTATGAATGTTGATATGCCATTTGGTGGAAAAACTATGCTTTTGGGTGGTGATTTTAGACAATTATTGCCTGTTAAAGTTAATGCTACTAGAAGCGAATTAGTTAATTTATCTATTAAATCTAGCACATTATGGAGTCATTTTAAGGTGATATCATTAACAGAAAATATGAGAACTTTACCTGGTGAAAAAGAATTTTCAGAATATTTATTATCAGTTGGAAATGGTACTTTAAATGATAATGATAATAATATACTAGCACCAGAGCAATGTGTAGAAAATGGTGATATCATTCATAAAATATTTGAAGAATTAATTATCAATAATAAATACGATGATTTAGCAAAAGTAGCAATATTGTCTGCTCGAAATGTTGATGTTGATGAAATTAACAACAAGGTGCTCGAACTGTTTGATAATAAAAGTGAGCGAATTTATACAAGTGTTGATAGTACCGAAAATTGTGATAATGGAAGTATAAATGATGCTATTTTACAAGAGTATTTAAATACTTTAAATCCATCAAATTTCCCGCCTTATGAATTACGATTAAGAGCCAATTGTATTGTCATGCTACTTCGAAATCTTAGTATTAATGAAGGTTTATGTAATGGAACGCGAATGCAGGTATTAGAACTATCAAACAATCTGCTACGTTGTCGTATTTTAACAGGTGATAATCTTGGGAATCATTAATTATATATTTAGGAAATCAAAGACCTAATTTACTAATCAAGAATTATGTTTACACTGAATTATTGAAATAAAAGTAAATATTTTTTCTATAAAAATGTCTGAGTCGTTATATATTTTTTTTTCTTAAAAAAGGAGTGTGTCTCAGTATGGCTGTCTTTACGCGTAAGACTTTCTTCGACGCTTGTTATTGGTAAATTACGTCATTTTTTTGTAATAAGATTCACACGTAAGATTTCTTTACACGTTTCTTTCATATCAATTGGTCAAAGACGTTTTAATTTCCTAATTTCAAATAATAGTTCAAACTTCAGATAATTAAGTCACTTATTTGTACGTATTTTAATGTACTGCCAACCAGTTCATCCAAATGAACTTTGAAAAAAGTTTAAAGATAATATTTCTCAAGATTATTAACGAAATTTTGCATCCCATGAATCTTATAGAAAAGCATATATTGAAATAAATTATTTTCTTCGAAATGACGGAGTACTTACATTTTTTGTATAATATTTACAGAAACCACACTTATATTTCTTTTTTACAGCAAAAGTAGGAACGATTTTAAGAAACAAAAGTAAATTTTTAATTTAATATCCTCTGTTTATGGCTTTCTTTGACAGTAGAGATGTTTTTTTGCTAGCTAAGTGAAAAATAGTTAAAAATTGTTTATTTAGTAACGTTTTTCTTTCATCACTATTTTTTAAAATATAAATTTACTATGGAAGATTTTAAATGTTACAAAATTTATTTAACAAATAGATTACTTTGATTATAAAAAGGTTTTCTATAACTTCATCGTACAAAACTTTTTATAAAATGTGCCATTCTTGAAATATACGCTTTTCTTTAAGCAAAGAAAAGTGTTGTTTTTTTTATCAAAACCATAAACTTTAGAAATGATACATTTAGAAACAGATAAAGACAGAACTAAAAGTGTAAAGGTATAAAAAATTGTTTTACGCACAACATAGGCTATTATTTTATTAAATTGAATAATATTTAAAAATTCCTATTATCAGAAACTGTCACTCAAATTGATACCTTAACATACAAAAGACTGTAATTTAAAGAATAAAAATGCAAGAGAAAAAACGCGCGCGCGGCAGCGCGCGATCGTTCTCGTAACCGAAAAATTAAGAAATTCTTGTATTTTAAGAACTGTAATGTCTGTAAAGAATTTATTTTTTATACATAATAATTTTTAGTAAATTTAGCAATAAATTTAAAGTAATATGTCACAAGAAATTATTTTTATTACTCAATATTATACGTTTAAAACACGAAAATCATTAAAAAACGTGTTTTTAAGCTAAATCGGCTCGTCGCGACCTCTAAATCGTTTTTAAAATATCTGGTAAGATAGGTGGCATCTTTTTCGTAAAAAGGAAGAAAATTTTTGGGTAGAGTTGAAAATTAAAAAAAAAAATTTTATGGGCACCCTATTATACATAGATTAGAAAAATTTTCTTAAGAGGGTTTAGAAGAATGAAATGAGTTCTTAAAAATGAAAATGCTCAGAAATTAGTAAACGATTTTGCCATTTTTGGTCTGAAAAGTGCACTTGAGGTATAGCCATCTTTAAATTGCTATAACTTTTTTGTCATTATCCGATTCGGCTGAGCCTACATTTTTCTGACTCGTTAGGCCTTTCTGCAATGAACCCTTCTTGTGCGAATTCTGTATAAAAAGAATTTTTATCCCACATGCACAAAAATGGCGCTTTTAGATAGCTGACGACAGGGAGTAAAGTCACTCATTTGTTCGACCATATGAAAATGGCGTCCATTTTCTCCCATGTGCAAACATAACCGCTGGTCCCATGCGTTATTTTTGCCCAAGGGAGAAAACAGCCGCCATTTTTATATAAGTCGAACAAGTGAATGACTTTTTCTCCCTGTTGTCTGCTATCTGAAATCGCCACTTTTGTGCATTAGGAATAAAAAATATCGTAAGTAACACGGGAATAAAGGCAGCCAATTTGTTTACGATGATTTTTGTGACACTCGTTTCGGTCTCGGGGCGCCTACGGCGCCCTTGACCTCCACTAGTGTCACAAAAATCACCGTAAACAAATGGCTGCCTTTATACCCTTGTTGCTTAATATACTATTATGCTTTTTTATTATTATAATTATTAATTAGTATTTTATTATTATAATTTATCATAGTTATCCTCTCTTAGAGTGTATATAAAGTCACATATTTTTATAATGTTTTGTTAGATATTTTTACTTTTTCATCTCATATTACTTGAAATTCTTCTTCTTCTTCTTCTTCTTCTTCTTCTTCTTCTTCTTCTGTTTTTATGGCCTCTTGTATTAACAAATAGCCAGTACTAAATGTATATTACTTGAAATGATGTTATTTATCATTTTAAGTTAATTATAAAGTTTGTGGGAAAGTGTATTGAAGAATGATTAAATTGTTTTAATCTATTTAAGAACTATTTAAATAAACTGTACGGAACCCCACAACTCTTTTAAAACTATACTCAGAACTCTATTAATAATTAATTTCCTGTAAAAATTTTATTATTTATGAAAATAATTAAATGTTTGTGTAGAATTTTATTAAATTTTTCAAAAATCGTACTTTTCTGCTTGAAAGTTGTTACTCAGGGGTTCAAGAACAAAGAAACAATTTTAAATAACGAAAAAATTCACAAAACATAAATAAAACATTTATTAAAACAAATAATTATTACAGACTTAAAAATAGAACTATTTTTCACAAGCGTAACATTAACTTGTCCACCATATTTAATTTTTAAAAAAGGCCACTATGCAAATAAAAGTATAGGTTCTAAGCTGTAATTTAAGCCCTATTATGATTTTTTTCGTTGAAATTAAAAATGGACGGACAGGGGTTAAATTTGACAAAGAATGCCCCTTTTATAAAAAAACTTAGGGGAAAGTTGTTAGGATTGGGCATAGTTTTGACTTTACTTCATAACTTTCCACAACAACAAAAAAACCAACTCAAAATAATTATTTTTTATAACATGCAAAAAGTAAACAATTTATCTCAGTAGTAATGCTGAAAAAACTTTAGTGTTGTCTACAAGCAGAACAGCGCTTCGGGGGCGAAGCTTCCCGTTCACAATCAATATTATTTAAATCTCAATACTTTATGACATTAATCACTCTTCATAATTTTCGTTTCACGTTTTTAGTAATCCCGAGGGAAATTGACGTTAGGCATCGTCTGCTGTCAACAACACACAGAAGCATACGCAGTGGAATCTCTTTATTTTTGCTAGTTATCAAATATTTATTTTAGGTTGGTAACAGTGCTTCAGTAGCATGGAAGGTGGGGTGAACTATGCGAGAATCTTCTACTTCCCTTCTTTTCTCGCACTAGTGCGTCTAAAACGGCACTTTAGACAAGTTTTTGGCAATAGTTGGCCGCCTAACCCCACGTTTTTACAAATGTGCCAAAAGCGTGGTCCTTTGGGAAAAGGGTTGTAGAAATTTTCAAGTGCAACCTACGTCAAAATGTTTTATGGCGATTTTTTAGCCAAAGAGACAAGCTTTCTAAAGCGATATTAAAATTGAAAAAACCTATTTAAATAACAGCCTCGCAAACCAAAATGTGCCGTCTTGGCTGCCTCGCCCCATTCTACTCTATCATCTTAATGAACAATTTTTGTAAACTTATTTTGTCTTTGGCATATTTCTTCTACACTTAGTTCTCTTCTTTTGACACAACAAAAAAGTTTTTGCTGAGCCTATATCACTAAGTGGCACAATACTCAAGTATACGTTCGTATACTTAACTGCGACTCATATGAAAAGATGGCTGACATTAGTAGCAAGAATTTACGTAAAAAAATAGATGGCGCTAGTGCTATAAAACGAAATAAACGTGGTGGCTCAACCCTAAAAACTGCCTAACCCTAACAACTGTCCCCTATTATTTAATAGGAAAAGGCACAAAAATGCATTTTTCTCTATTCTCCACACAGAAATTTATTTATTTATTTATTCCATTCGAAAGTTCATCTCGAAATCTCAGTTTCTTTGTTGTTTTCCAATTTATATTGATAAATATAATATTTTTATTGTCATGGCTGCCGAGCTGACAACACGTTTTTCTTTTTGATCTCCACATATACGGGTGGTTTGACTGGTTTTTGGTGTTCTGAAATTGCAATTTGTGCATCGTGTATAGCAGAGCACGTGTATGGAACTGTGCATTGACTTTTAACTTTATTTTCGCATTGTTATTGCAGTTATTATTGATTATCGAATCTTACTTTTTGCAATCGCATTAAGTTGAACTGACTGTACCGCATCGTGATTTTTAAGTGGTGGTGTGTAATTTCTGCAATCTTTAATCTTAATTAATTAGTGCAACCAGCATCACGTGTGCGTGTCTCCATCTTATCAGAGGTACTGTTTTGTTATAACATTTGTTATCTTTTTTCACAAATATTTAACTGTTTATGTGTGGCGTGTGTACTTTCTGAATTGGCTGTACGTTTGTTTGTATGGTGTTTATCAGTGTCACCAGAGCATTCAAATCATGGATAAGGATTCTAGCTCGAACAGTGGCAATGATCGGCCAAAAGATGGCCTTCTAGGTACGAATTTGACTTCTGTTTGTCCAGTATGTAAAGGTAATACAGGAATCTCTAAGGCAACTCTGTGTTCAGTGTGTAACACCTCCTACCATCCTTCATGCGCTCTCAAGCTTCCCACCATCTCGAACGGTGGATTCAAAAAGTGTTGCGGCCCACCATCGCCTCTCCCCACCGCTTCTTATACTCCTCTTTCGTCTGACTCTCCGTCGTGTGACGACATGCGTATGCTTATCAGAGAGGAACTACAATTTGTTCGAGAGACTTTTTCCTTCGAATTGCGCAATCTAAACACCACAATCTCTAACCTGTCTACTGATATGAAAGCAGTCAATGAGAAGATTGATAATTGTACTTCTCAATCACGTGAAACCATCCTTCGTGTTGATGCTTTAGAAGATAAAGTCGAGGAAATTATTCAA